TTTATCGCACACGCGTAGCCTCCGCTGTAGCCTCGATAAAACTGCTGATCCGCGAATGGGGGATAGAGCAAGAGATCGTGAGAAAGGGGAACAGAGAGGACGCTAGTGAGAGAAGGACAGAAGACGCAGCAGCAGCAGAAAGCCCAAGAGCAGCGGAAGAGCGAGAAAGACGGGAGACCGGAAATGCAACACGCGTACATAAACAGCGTCCGAGCGAGCACGAGGTCCGCCGAGGACTGCCGACTGGATGCTGCTCTGCTGCGACTGCTCGCGGCCTGTCTCGATCCAATGGAAACGAGACTGTCCAGTGGCGCCGGAAGAGAGGCACCAGGCGCCCTCGCTGCTTTTCCTATCTAAGTTTCACGCGCCCAGATCGGGTCGATACAGAATACCCTTCTACGCCCACTTTTACGATTACTCTCACCCCGCTTTGCAGAAGGAGCCACCTACGCGATATATATATATATATATATGTCTTACATGTTTGCACGGGACGTCAAACGATGCATGTATTTGAACACCGAAATTGATCCGTTGTGTCTTGCCAGTTTCAAGGATATTTTTGCTTTGAATTAAAGACGAGGGAATGAAATACATTTAGAAATTTATAGCTTGTTTCTCCACATTTCGATAAAATAATTTCTCAGTCTTGAATTTTTATGATTTTTTTTTTACAGTTACTAATGTTCTCTTTTTTTTTTTTTTAAGTCTACTGTAAGGAGGAGCAATTAAATTTTATAGGTCACATGTTGAACAGAAAATTCTTTCTCACTACTTTTTATACTACTTTTATACTACTTTTTTTTTTGACATAAAATGTTTTCAATATCATGCAAAATGGTTATTCGTTTTCGTGATTCTGATTCTTTTTCTTCTTCCTTTTTCTACAAAACGTATGGTAAACGGTTGAAGATAATTCGATCATCCTGGTTCGGACTAGTACTATTCGATCATTAACAATCACACATTGAAATATATAAACAAAAAGACAAGCAACTGTACGTAAAACACTAATTTCATAATTAAAATTAAATCACGGAGTGCGCAAGTTACGCACAGTTTGTTAAATATTTAAGCATCATTAATACACACACACATACGCGCACGCGCAGTGATAAATATAGTGTGTTTTAATTTAATTTGCAATTTAAGAAAATGTCAATTTGACTTACTTGACGCATCCTTACTAGGTCCAGTGCTGAGATCACTTAAAGAGCTACGAACGGAACTTCTGGCAGTTTCTTCGATTGGCGACTTTATTTCTTGTCGGCCACGTATTCTCCTGGTAATTTGTAACTTCTTAGCAAAACTGTATATCTTAATAAAAACTTTTAGAAAGAAAGATGTTGGCGATTAATATCTTACCTTTTATCCTTATTACTGTTATTATTTGCGTCACCAGCTTTCTTTTGACTTGATCCTGTAGAAGATGACTGACCAAGACTCTGAAGTACCCTCGATTTTACTTCCTTCCTAGCTGGCCTACTTCTCTGTTCATTTTTCCCGGCTTCAATTTTACTCATAACGGCATCCCAGCGTCCACCCTTTCTAGCAGATCTCTGTGAACGTCGAGCTTCTTTCTCTGCTTCATCCTTCGGTCCAGACTCGATCATAGCTTTGATCTTCGAGACAACGTTCCTCTTAGGCATCTTATATTTCTTTAATGGAACCGAATCAACTTTCTGTATCTTCGTTCTTATACTGTCATTGGTTCTCTCAACCTCGATCACTGTAATTTCATTATTGTTCATCGAACCACTGGAGTCGGCCGATCCATCCAGAGGATTCACGGGAGCCTAAATATTATCAATTATACACACGAGCTATTTTAACGAATGTACACAGATACATATTAAATTTAAAAGGAATTGTCGACTCGCCTGCAAATAATCCATTATAACGTGACTAACTTCCGCCTTGATTGGTGTCGGCTGGCTTCTTTGCGAGACTTCCGTGTCAATGGTATCCGGAGTACGGTCCTCGTGTTCCTCGACTGCCTCTTCAGGAGCGTGAAACTCATCCTGCCTCTTGTCGAGATCCGAATAAATCCCACTCGAGTCCATCTCTTCTCCGCCAGTGAAACTGGGACATCTTCGTCCACCAGGTGCACAGAAGAGGGTACCATCGATCACCTGAGCTTTCCTATCACCACGTACGATTTCCTCATACGCGTCGGCATCACTTTCTGTGAAGAAGTCCGAATCCGTCATCGGATCCTGTCTACAAGGGGCGGGTAAATTCGGCGGTGGAGCGACAGATGGTGGATCGGCCCCACGGCTTGCTGGTCTAGAATTCTCGCCGTCGCCTTGATAACCAGCTTCAAGACTGGTGATACTCGTAACCGACGTAACGAAACTAATTGGAACAGTGCCCCTAACAGGTTCCGTTGGTTTAGGATCGAGCGGTAGTTCTTCTGGAGATGGTGTTCTCTCGCTGGAGGCCTCTTCAGTTGGCTCGACATCCGCCGACGGTCTCGACGCCGACGCTCGCGTTAACGCCAATCTAGAGCCTGCTGATCCCGTAAGATTTTCGCAGGATGGTGTCCTGGAGCACTCTAGCGCAACCGTGAAGTCGGTCATCTGGTCGGGAGTTAATATACCGAGGCTTTCGTCGTGTTCAAAAGAATTCTGTTTGTTGAGCATCAAATAATGCGGCGTCGCGTTTACTGCATTATCGCTGTAATTGCCTAGGGACGCTTCCAAGAGGCAACCCTCACCGATGTCCTCAATCATATTCAACTCAGAATTCTCGAGCAAACTATAGAAATAAAATTCTATTGTAGTAATATATACCATTTAGCATATAGCAATTTATATACATTTTCCTTTGTTGTTCGACGAAACAAAAAGTGTTTTCTGGTAAATGGCTACTGTGTGAAACGACAGGTAATTTTTCCAATACCTAACTGTTCTAGGCATTTAAGTTTTGCATTTGAAGTTTGACCTGTATCATTCCACGACAGATTTATGAGGCAGATAAAAGTACACCATCGTAGAAGATGTCCTGATATTTTTATTGGATGGCGTATTGAAAAAAAAAACCTTGTACCTGAAAAAGTTGCTCTTCTCTTCCGCGAAATGAACCAACTGTTGCACGTCATCTTTCTCAATATTCCACACGGGTGATAACTTGAACGTCTTGTGTCCCGAATCTGTTGGAAACATAAGAGAATAATGCATTAAATCTTTTTTCATTGAAAACGATTCCTGCGCAAACAACGTATTTATATATTTACTATCACCTTCGATCGACGGCGTAGACGTAGCTCGTGGCCCGCACTTTGTTTTAGGAATGTCAGATTCGTCCTCGGCATCGACGAATTGCAAACATCCCGGGAGTACTAACGAACGTCGGTGTCCAGGCACGATCGTCGACGTACCGAGCACTCTCGATTTCGGGAAGAAAGACGGCCGTGTTGCGCGTGGAACTGGTATCCGGCTCTCCCCCACGTTCTACAATCACACAGATAAAATGATGAATTCGCGTGCGTAAACTGGGTTACGGTATAGCTATTTCACGCATCCGTTTAGCCGGTCGGCGGACATACATTGCGCCGGGAGAGTTACGAATTCCTTCGTTTATCCTCTAATTAATTGAATCGTTCCATAGCCTGAAGCTTCAACTAACTGAATATAGACGGACTTAATCGCATTGTAGCAATCGAATTAAATCCGACGGAGACTTGCTCGCAATGACGTAGAGGTTCACGCTGGTGTCTTTAGACGGGCGTCAAAGGTTAAGACGACGACGATGACGGTCGATTAAATGATCGGAGGTAAGAGGAGGAACCTATAAAAAAAAAAAAAAAAGAAACAAAAATATCGAATTCTTCAAGGTTAAGAGAAATTCTTGACCCGAAGATGAAGACGAAGAGTCCGTTGCCCTTGGCCCATCTCCAAATAAAACCCTTCGTCCCGAGGTGAATCAGAAGTGTCTCTCTAGCAGTTGGCTAATTTAATTTTAGCCGTGGTTACTCTTGCCGTTACTCCTCTCTTGCGACCACCTTTATCCAATGCCTCTTCGTTCCTCCACGTCTTCGTAACGTAAGAACACGCGTAACACGTTCCCCTTTAGCCTGTTTAACGAGCAACGAAAACATCGCTCGGTGGTCGATTAGCTTTATCGTTCGACCGCGAATCCGCTCGTGTAATATGCAGAACACCCGTTTATCCAGCACCGTGCAAAACATCAGGCTGGCCGAAGTATGCTCCTATTCTAAGTTCGAATACCAGACGACATTCGAGTATTTGCTCGCGATCTGACCGATAAAACCCGACCACACGCGAGATCGAGCTATGCAGCCCACAAACGAAAAGCTACGTTAGCCCGATACTAATAATAGTGTTACCGATGGCTAGCTGAAAGCGAGCAACCGGCTACCAGAGTAACAGAGTGCGTTCACCGACGATCCTGTTGAACGACGGTCGTCGGCTGAGAACTGGGTTACATCGCTCGCGAGTTTATTTACTACGAACGCTATCGATACGAACGCTGCGTGCAAATTCCTCCGTCGAAACATACACCGTTTCATTATTTCTTCACGTTCACGTTAACATCGATCGAACGGTAACATTACCGTCGTGCTAAGTTTTAGCACGGAAACGATAAATTACTCAAGGATCACGCTTTATTGCATTGCACACACGTACGTATACAGTACACGAACAAAAGATTGCTATCTACATATGAGTATATGAATACATGACGTATCCATCTTTTTCTAGTGGTTGACAACATAACGTCAATACTCGCGACTCCGTAAGCCTCTAAATCGATCGATATATTCGCGACGCGGTTGTTATCGATCTAGGAGAATGTCACGGTCAGAAAGGGCAATCAGTAGATAAATCGA